GAATGAAAAAGACCAAGATGGTACATCCTAAAACAGATACAGATGTCCTACTTTCTCCTGACTTTTGTGTTCTCATCAGCTCTGGTGTTCAGTGGGACAGCACCACTGTGTCACTCTTTTACTACTAAAGATAGACAATAAAAGGGACCATTTAGTCAGACAGTGTATTCACAGTAAGTTCACGAAACCAGTTAGTTCACCCAAAAGAAGCGCTGCATCAGTTTTACAGAAGCAGTCTGTCACCCCAACAGACTTCAGACTGGTGATTCGGACTGGTGATTCGGACTGGTGATTGGTTATTGGTTAAAGATGGTTGGTTCTTTCTCGCATGCGTAGCATGGCAGGCTTTTCAGATGGAGATGTGGAAACACATCTAGCGTTGGGGTTTTCATCCCCTCAGAAGGAACGTATGTGTTAAAACAAGCTGGGATTTTCAGACACATGAAGTGCTGGAGGAGCCGGCAAAACCAGTGGCAGGTCCACAAAAGGTGAGCAGTATGGTGAAGTTCATGTACTGGTTGATCAATTAGGGTTGGTTTTTTTAGGATAATTGACACAGCACACAGTCACACAGAGAAAAGCTGATTTAAAGTCTGATCTAGATCACACTTCAGTCCCAACCTTCTCATATCACGGGAAAAACATAACCTGGGACTGTATATCATGTTTGAGTCCTTAAAAAAGATTTGTCAGTTTAAATAATGCTTTCTTAAATATCCACTGAGAAGGAGCCGGGAGTAAGATGGTTCATCTATAATTAGACTGCAGGTCAAAGTGCTCAGCATTTAAGGGTAGTTTCAGTAGCATCAACAAGGGGTTCAAATGTCACTATTGGGGCTCGGTCACGTAACCAGCTGCTGGGGAAAGATGGTTTCAGTTGGCTTGTACTAGGCACACAGTAAGTGAGATAAGGCAGTGTTTCCCAATCCGGTCCTTGGGGACCACCTGACAGTCCATGTTTTTGCTCCCACCCAGGCAGCTCCCAGGGCAGGGAGCTGGGAGGGAACAAAAACGTGGACCGTCTGGGGATCCCCAAGGATCGGACTGGGAAACACTGAGATAAGGAACCCATGCATTTTGGGGGGTGCCCCCACAGTACAAACCTGCTCTGAGCCTCCATTGAGCTGAATCCGGACCTGCTTCTAGAAGGAACCATGTAAAAAAAAGGGGGGGATTACACTGACCAGACATCAGCCCCCTGGGCCGAAATCAGTCTGCTCAACAAAATCCGATCCTTGCCCACTTCCACCCACACACTCTGCAGCTATCAGTGTGACTGTGCAACTTTCAGCCAAAGAACAGGAGCACCAACAGGGCGAAACACGAGGATCTCAGTAAGAGTTACAGGAGAATGAATTACAGCGCCACATCTACGGAGATACAGGAAAAAGGATCAGAGGTGGAATGGATGCCAGATCCAGTTACCCTAAGACTGGAGAACCTTTGGTTTTGACCATTATACTACAAGACGCAGAAAAGCCATCCACACCCACATGGGGTCACATGTCTGCTCTTCCGAGAGCCGAGGATGCTGGGTAATATAAATGTGCGTCCATAGAGGACAGTGCAGTGCGGTAAGTGGATGATGGGGCTGTGGGGTTGGAGCCCGGTGCGGTGGTGCCGGCCAGGCGGGCCTCTCTTACCTTACTCTTCTCCTCCATCCTCGCCGCCTGCCTGCAGGGTGGATGCCAGATGGAAGAACCTGAGACATGGGAAGAAAAAAGCTGTTTCCAGAGTGCAGACACATTGCTAGGAAGTGTAACTCCATCCGGACGCTGGCCGAGTGAGCTGGATAAGCCGGGAGGCTGAACAAACCCCGGTAAACGTGATGTTTGCGAGACCGTCGACTTTCCCCAGTACGATGGTCACATCACAGTAACAGAGGGGTTAGCCGATTAGCTTACCGGGGACGTCCCCCGCCAGCCTGGTGAAGACTGACTGCAGGGAAATACAGGGAAGCACTGAGAGCGAGATCAGCCCGTTGGTGTTTGTGAAATCAAATGAGCCCACAGTACAGCGTCAGCACCAGAGGGACTGTACCTTTGTGCATTTCCATGGAATATCAGAGATGTGCCTGACTCAATAATGGAAATGCTTTGGGGGACATAAGTGTGGCTTGGATTCAAAGGTAAATACAGCCCCTCCTATAAGTGTGATATCCTCTCTACGGCACCCATGAAAAATAAGGAGAGGAGAACATGATAACTGCACATAGAGGAGGGGGCTCAAACCCACACGACATGGGGAGCACATGCAGACTGCACACAGACACAGAGGAGGGGGACTCAAACCCACATGGCACAGGGAGCACATGCAGACTGCACACAGACACAGAGGAGGGGGGACTCAAACCCACATGACATGGGGAGCACATGCAGACTGCACACAGACACAGAGGAGGGGGGACTCAAACCCACATGACATGGGGAGCACGTACAAACTGGGGGGACTCAAACTCCAAACCTGAAGCCACCATCCACCCCCAAATCAGCATGGTGAAATTTAACCTTTGCTATGCTATTACTTCACTTTTTGACTTTGATTTATGGGGCGAGATGCTACTGCAGGCCTCAACTGGATAAAAGGAACAAATGAAAAAAATCCACCCAACTTCAGAGCAGGCTATACAGTTTTCCCAGAGGCATAGTCATAGTCAGTGTAGTTAAACAAAGCCTGTTCCTCCCAAAGGCTGTCTTAACATGTGACACACTGGCTGCGATTTACAGGCAAACTCCCAGGTGAAACCCAAACCCCAACACTATCAATGCAAGGCTTTGAAAAGGCTCACCCCCTGAGCTGTGGTTTAGTCCCACTGACCCCAATGACGTAATGCCTTAACAAACAGGCTGGAGTGTGGCTCTGAGGATTAGGATGCTGGTCCTATGAACATAAGGTTGTTGGTTCAAATCCCATGGTTGGTAGTCCATAACCCCAGTTACCCTGGAGACACTGGCTAACTCTGATACTTAATTATACATCTCTTTGGACAAAAGTATCTGCAAAATAAATTAAATGAAGGCAGTGAGGTGACGGTGGCGCAGAGTTGCCATGGGTTTACCTTGCAGGTACATCTCCTCTCCCTCTCCAAACATCTGGTCACACCTAGCACAGCGTGCACATGTTGGGTGGTAGTGCTTGTCACCAGCCTGCAGTGAAACAGAGCACAAGAACAAGCATAATGTACCACGCCCAGGTGATGTCGGAGGGTTACGCAGGCCGAAGCTGAATATGGGGTTTGGCTCAAAGTGCTGGCTGCACTTAGAATCCCCCTGTCACTTTACTATGCAGGAAAACCATTCTACGAAAACAATCTTTGGTCATTGATAGCCATGTAATTACAACAATCAACCAATAGGGGGCACACTATACAAAACAATATAGAGTACACTGCTGCTTGACTTGGTATTTTAACACTAGAAATCATCCCAGAGAATTAAGAGAGAGTGTAATTTTCCCTGCAGAGGTTGTGTATTTTATTGATATTGCTGTTTGGTAAAGCTACGATTACACCCCACTTAAAACGTGTAATCATTTTTGAATTACGAATTAGGCATGACATCATTGAAAATGCAAAAGCTAATACCTGGTTTAACTGCAGTACATTTCATTGTGAATTCTTCATAAAAATGGAACAGGTGAACTGTGCGAATCACTATTTGGAGGACTGTAATTGAAAATTTGAATTTTGAGAATTTATAGCTGAGCCCACAGTCCCTGAAAGAAGGACAGCCAGCAGGAAGAGCAGATCCTGCCCAAAAGTACATTATTCTCATGCTGTTATCTATAAACAACTCCTCCGTAGCACAGCTCTCCTTTGGTCCATCAAGCTGGAGTCAAGCTGTAACTGAGTAGAGTGAAGTGCACAGTTTGTCACATGACGAGGGTGAAGAATCTCATAATGGAAGCATAAAGCAATGGGTCACATGATGAGGGTGAAGAACATACAGCAATAGGTCACATGATGAGGGTGAAAAAAATACAATTGGTCACATGATGAGGGTGAAGACAATACAGTAATAGGTCATATGATGAGGGTTAGAAACACCACATGGGAAGCATATTACACATCATATGAGAAAGGTATACGACATAAAAATGTATGTCAATATATATCCACTTGGCTGCTTATCTGATGAGCCCATGCCACAAACTACTACACTACCTTTATGTACAAAGGAGAATATCACCATATGGGAACCACACAACTCCGTACATGAAGAGATTGCAAAAGTAAATGGCAAATACAGACACATCACAGTACGTACTTTACTCCCATCTTCCCAACCACAGCACAAGTTTTCCTGTTTTTTTCTGGGTGAAATATGCTCCCCTTTATGCTATCCTTTATTGGTCATTATTATTCGTAGTACAGTACGTCAAAATTATAGTACAGTGTCCATCTACTTATGTATGTTTTATAATTATGCTGTAAGTATAGACATATTGTTGTTAGATTGAACTATAATTCTCCATTATCCCCTATATTTAAGATATAATTTTACGATAAACGATAGTATTAAGTAGAATGGGTACAGCCAAGAGCGTAAATAGTTGGAGGGTGAGGGGATGTGACCCACCCCTTCCTTCCCAAAAAATACGGGACCATCATTTTATCATATGGATCAGTTATGTTTAGTTCTGAAACTGCACCCCTAACAGTGCCAGTCTTATTTTAAATGTTGAAAACTTTATTGCTTTGTAATAATTATGTCTTATATGAACATGACCCCCCCGTTGGGGCAAATTTGGTTGTCAAACTCCTTCCGACACTCCTGAGTACAGCAGCCTCTTTCACACACAGGGCAGGCCCTCTGCACGTCATGAACGCCACACGCTGGCTGCTCATTTGTGTCACATGAGCACAACGCACCTCTGGCTAAATGTTAGGAGGAAGACGCCAATCGTCTGGGGCGCTGGCTGGGCTGCTCGCAGCCGACAGAGCCCCGCAGTGGCTCTCTCACACCCCTCCTCTGTCTCTGCACCATAAATAAAACATGACAGAAGCTTTTATCCCTCTTCCGTTAATCAGGCTACATCTCTCCATTCCCTCTATTCTCCAGTTGGCAGAGAAGGAGACAGATATTTCCAGTCTCCGTTCGTTACTATGTTACCCATGAGCGAGCGCCAGTTGAGGTGCCCCGCCTCTTCAGTGGAGCGCCAGTCTCCTCCAAGGAAACCCTGAACCATCTTCACTTGTGACAAACGCTGATGAGGTAGAGGTCACACCAGACAATATCCCTGAATGTAGCTGCCCTGAAGAGCATGAAGAGAACATGACCCGGCGTGGACAGGGTCACACACTCCGCGTTTATTCTTAAACATTCCCTGCAGCAGTCATCACCTCTACTGTCATCACGTGAACCACAAAGGAGCCTGTTAGGGGCCCTGTCCTCCGTGTCCTCTTCCATTTTTAAAGCAGATTCCTGCTTGTGAGACGCGCACATGCTCGACACCGAAATGCGAGTGACCGCCCATCTCTAAAAATGGGACAGGGCTCCCCTGAAATTGCCACTTGCTGACTAATAGCCATTGTCCTGCACGGTGTGTAAAGGAGGAGTGGATTCCGCATTAAAAGCCGGTTATGACTGAAGGCCCTCAGCAGGTCACCTTGGCCTGCCCACCTTGGCCTGCCCACCTTGGCCTGCCCACCTTGGCCTGCCCACCTTGGCCTGCCCACCAGCAGTGCTACCCACAGTAGCCAAATGCATGCAGCGATTAAGACACAGACTGGTGACCTGAATATTCCTGGTCCAGCAATAGGCATGCAGGAGAGCCTCCCTGTTTACCCATGAGTGAGCTACATCTCCCTTCATTTTAGCCCATGATTTCGGCTCCTCCCTCCCCCAGCTCTTGTCCCCTCTACCCTCTTTTCACATTTAGTGTCTGTATATGTCATTGGCCACTTGGCCGGAAATGATCTTCGTATCAGGGCCAGCAAAGTCACCACACTGCAGTCAGGTGCCAGACTGGACCGTTCTATATATATGAAACATGATAAATAGATGCTTCTTGTCGTCAGGTTTGGAGTTGATGGCTCGTTGGCTTCAAGTGGAAAAACATGGCTCTGCAGCCAAGCAGGTAAATGTCAGGACCTTATGTCTCTGACTGAGACCCACCAACTTCAAGGTGAGCTGTCGTATATTCTTAGTGCAGCTGGTACATCACGTAGTGCAATATAAATGAAAAAACACATTCTTAAGTAGCTCTAAATCACATGAGAACATGGTAGTAGTTCTCATGGATGCAGCAACCAAGCATGTGTCTCTGTGGGTAAAGTGTCTCTGCTCTTATCCTGAAGGTTGCTGGTTTGAATCCCATGGATGGTGGAGTAATCATTCCATTTTTGTGACTTTGAGTTCTATGCCTGAAAAAATGGCTGCCCCTGGGATCTGACTTCAAACTTCTGTGTGTGATTGTTTGAGTGTCTCAGAGGAAAAGCGAAGAATCCCCATGTTCCTGGGCTTGCACAATGGTGAACTGGAAGGTAAGGGAAGGTGATACTGGGAGCCTGAGTAGGTGGGCCTTGGTCACATTAGGGCTGCCATTACACTCCCTCAAGCTGCCCATACGGGAGATTCCCTGGGGGCGTATCCCATGACCACGGCTGATCCGGAGGAACAGGAAAACCCTTTCAGGAGAAGACCAAAGAACGTTCTCTGGTTTCCCCATACCCCTCAGGTAGCCCTGACAAAGAGGGGATACATCTACAGACAAACAGCTTGCCTATTCATTATTCACCACATCAAATGGGCCATGGATTTAGACAGCTACTGCGGTGCCAAAAAGCCTCTGCTCCACCAAACAGAGAAATATCTCTCTTAAATGTATTGAAGTGATTGAACTACATGACTTATACACCAGTTAGCCATAACATTAAAACCACTTGCCTAATATTGTGTAGGTTCCACTTGTGCCAACAAAACAGCTCTGACTCATCAGGCCATGGACCCCACAAGACCTCTGTAGGTGTCCTGTGGTATCTGACACCAAGACATTAGCAGCAGATCCATTAAATCCTGTAAATTGTGCGGTGGGGCCGCCCCGGATCGGACTTGTTTGTCCAGCACATCCCACAGATGCTCAATCAGACTGAGATCTGGGGAATTTGAGGCCAAGTCAACACATCCAATCCTTTTTCATGTTCCTCAAACCATTCCTGCACAATTTTTGCAATGTGGCAGGGCGCCATATCCTGCTGAAAGAGGCTGGCCACTGCGATTGGAGATTACAGTTTCCATGAAGGGCTGTACTTAGTCTGCAACAATGTTTAGGTAGGTGGTACGTGTCAAAGGAACATACACATGAATGCTAGGACCCAAAGGTTTGCCAGCAGGACATTGGCAGAACATCACACTGCCTTCCGGCGTTTCCTTCTTCCCAAAATGCATCCTGATGCCATTTCTTCCTCAGGTAAATTCAATAGCCGCTAACTAAGAAGTATATTTTAATAACAACAAACCAATAAACCATAAAAATTAGCAAATGCTAATGATAACCACTATCTGCTAACTTTTATTATATGACTTTAGCTTCAGTTTGGTTTTGGGCACTGAAAATCTACAAAACAGCTGAAATTAGCAATTTTGTCATGTGTCACAGGAGTCCTATTCCGTGACTGGCTCATGGTGACATTTTGTCCTTAAGGGAGCCACTTGGGGAGTACAAACATGGTACTGTTTACCCAGAACTAGGAAGAAGGATCTCAGTTCTTTATTAGTCTATAGCTCTGTCATTGAGAGCCAAGAAAAAAGTAAAATAACCAGGGCCTCAAGCAGGATTTCTTGCTTAGCCAGATAACTTGTAAATTTAAGGTAGTTTGGGCTAAATGTAAATGAACAAAGATAAAGTCCATTTAAACTGGGGCACCTGATTTACGACAAGTTATGCGACTGAGCAAAAAATCCAGCTTTTTGATAGACCCCAGTTCTCCACTCAGTTTAAATGGACCTCACTTGCATTTAGCCCAGACTACCTTAAATACGACAAGTTACTGACTAATCATGCCTTGTTATTTCACATTGTCAGTCAACAGTGTACCAGATAGACCTTTGCAGACACGCTCATAGTAGACTGGAACAAATATGTGTGATTTTAGGATTTGGAAATGTTTTTGACCATTAAACTTGATTTGCTTTACCTGCAAAAAACATGTTAAGGGATCTACAGAAAGCTAAATTAGTGGAAGATTAAGCTTCTGTGTGTGTGCGTGTTTGTGTGTCTGATAGGAAAACTAAACAATCCGTATGTTCCTGTGTTTGCACAATGGTGAACAGGAAGGTAAGGGAAGGTGATACTTTGCGTCTGAGTTGGTGGTGAATCCTTTTTCATGTTCCTCATACCATCCCTGTCTGCTAACGGTTAGCGGAAATGCTAATCCGCTAATGAAAAAGTTAGCTTTGCTAATTAGTGGTTAGCAGATTAGTGCAACCCTGCCTACCACTGGGTAAAGGATGCACACACACCCAGCTGTTCACTTGATGTAACAGAAAATGTGATTCATCAGACCAGGACACCTTCCATTGTTCCATGATCTAGTTCTGACGTCCATTGTATGAGCTTTTGGAGTTGGACGGGGTCAGCCTGGGTACTCCGATCTTTGTGTGGCTACGTAGCCGCATACGCAGCAAGCTATACACAACGGGAAGAAGGCACGGTGTGTTCTGACACCTTTTAATCATAGCCAGCATTGACTTTTTCAGCAATTTGAGCTACCATAGCTCTCCTGTGGGATCGGACCAGATGGGCTAGCCTTTGCTCGCCACATGCATCAGTGAGCTTTGGGCGCCCATGACCCTGTCACCAGTTCACCAGTTGGCCTTCCTTGGTACCTACTGACCACTGCACACTGGGAACACCCCTCAAGGCCTGGTGTTTTGGAAATGTTTTGACCCAGTCTTTTAGCCATCACAGTTTGGTCCTTGTCATAGTTGCTCTGGTCCTTATGGTTGCCCATTTTTTCTGCTTCCAAAGCATCAGCTTCAGGAACTGACTGTTCACTCACCTAATATATGATGGCACCCTTCACATGTGCCACTGTGATGAGATAATCAATGTTACAATGTTACTCACTTCACCTCTCAGTGGTTTTAAAGTTATGGCTGATCAGTGTATGGTTTCGTCTTTGAGATACCGTGCCTATAGCTTGTTCCATTCTTTCTGCTGGCTGAGCTTTCCTGCTAATCTCTCACAATTCAGGATACCAGACATCTTTAGCAGAACCACAGGAGATGACATTGTAAGCTGGCACGAGCATGACACAGACAGAGCGAGTACGGCTCAGCTTCTCTGGATTTGGATGTATGAGAGTAGAAAGGGGAGACATGGGACAGAAAGACCCAGTGAGGAGGCCGAGCTGAGGATGTGTGTAAGGACAGTGACTGATTTTCTCAAACGCAACAATGACAGCCCACAAAGCATGCCAGTTAGAAGAGCTGGTGTTTGGATAGTTCTAGAGCCTGTGCTTCAAACTGTCCCAGGTTGACTGCTTCAAAGTAGGTGGTTGATTAAATTACATGCCTGTCATCTTAGTTTTACACAGACACTATGGAGAACCTCATGGTGACCTTTAGTGACCTCTAAAGTAGCAAGAAGTTCTAGTGGGGAAGTAGTGAATGAGCGCAGTCCAAGTCATGGCAATGATTTGTCTAGGGTCTCCTTACCTCCAGCACCTTCCCAGTAATGTACTTCTTGCAGCTCTCACACTGGATTCCATACATGGCGTGGTAGTCCATTTCACAGTATGGTACTCCATCCCTTAAAAACAAGAGAGCCAACGTCTTATAATGACTCTTGCGGTGACTAAGTGCCTGTAACTGCCAGTAAATCACAAGACAAATGTCAAAAGAAGGGCAAGTTGCACTTACAGTATCTGCTGGCACTGGCTCCCCAGCCTCTCTGTCCTACCCGCGTTTATGAGAGCCTGGCAGCCAGCAGCTGAAATGCTTACACGTTTGATCCACCCCTAACCCCTCAATGCTACGTCATTACAGACGTTCTTGGGAGAGCTTGGAAAAGTGTGAAAGCTCTGAGGCTATCCCCACGGTGCAAAAACACCACGCCTGTGGGTCCGTTGCCATAATACTCCACTCCGGAAGACAGAGATCCCAGAAGCCAAAGGAAGTGTGGACTTATTGTCATATTTTATTTGTCATTGCTCATCTGGTAACACTATTCCTGGCTGCACAGCTGCTGCATTCTGTAAGCAACATGCTCTGCCGCTTTGCCTGGTCTGGTGGTTAGCATTACGGGGAGTGGTTAGCATTACGGGGAGTGGTTAGCATTACGAGTGATTAGCATTACGGGGAGTGGTTAGCATTACGAGTGATTAGCATTACGGGGAGTGGTTAGCATTACGGGGAGTGGTTAGCATTACGGGGAGTGGTTAGCATTACGGGGAGTGGTTAGCATTACAAGTGGTTAGCATTACGGGGAGTGGTTAGCATTATGAGTGATTAGCATTACGGGGAGTGGTTAGCATTACGAGTGATTAGCATTACGGGGAGTGGTTAGCATTATGAGTGATTAGCATTACGGGGAGTGGTTAGCATTACGGGGAGTGGTTAGCATTACGAGCGATTAGCATTACGGGGAGTGGTTAGCATTACGGGGAGTGTGTGCTGCCAATACAAGCAATACCATGGAGATTCTTTCCAAAGTTTCACTCTGGTTTCTATTTAGCATGGATACTCTGCCTAGTTACCACTTGACTGCAAGTACGTTGTATGTCAGCTGTGTGTCTGCTTCAGGCACAGCTAAACAGGTGAAGGAGCCATTTAGGGATGCTTTGGCCCAGAGGGTGTGAGTGAGAGGCCTTACTCAGTTATAGTGCTCTTAAAGTAAAATGGCAGCTATCAACTACAGAAGGGCAAAATGGACTTTTAACAGACTACTACAGGGGTACCCAGAATTTTTTGGCTACTTTTAAAGAGTTCACCATGATCTACTAATCCCCTGAGAGTCCTATTACCATCTCTATGATTCCTTTTTTCGGAATAGCGATGCTCTTTTGGCAGATCAGACACATTTAGAATAAGATACAACCTTCTTCTGACCCTGTATGGAAGTTGTATGTTTTCAGTTTCTTACTTGGTTTTTATTTTATCTGAAATAATTTGTAGCAAGCTAGAAATGATGATATGCATGTACAGCCAACATGTAATCAAATGTTAGCTTATAGTTTGTTTTTCTCCATGTAGTGAAAGCACATAGTGTTAGGTATAGTAAATTCGGTAAATTCAGACTGGCCACATATTCATTGAGAGTTCACAATCAAATCAGCTGTCAGGTAGCTGTCATAAAAGGAGCAGTTAAGAAATGGGAAGAATCTGACATTAAACAGAAGCAGTTTTTTGAAAGGGCGTCTACCAGCATGATCAACGATTGATGCATAGGGCTCCCCTGGGCTACAGCTAACCCCACTATACATCCCTCCACTTCTGCTAGCTTAAGGCTCCTAGCAACAACTCTGACATTATGAAACTTGTCATACTAAAAGTACACAGTTTAATGAGTAATGAATAGATACCAGATTCAGGCCAAGACCTGACCCTGGCCTCCCCTAATGTTAATCTCAGCTTTAGAGTAGTATTTTCTATACTGATTGTTTGTGACACAAAACTTGGCAGGACTCAGCAAGATAGGATGCCAAGCACTTTCTCCTTTCATCTAGCCCCAAGTTGGGTAACAAAAAATGAATCGCCTTTTCGCCCCACGGCCTTCTTCTGACAACTAATTAGCAGGGCTCCACGTTCCCATGAAGCAGCATGACTGTGTCGCATTTTAGGATCCCTCTCACTGCACCGCCGCATGTTGCAGTGGATCGCCACAGGAGTTCACACGCTGCTCCTCATTCTCGCTCGTCATTGTGCCACCTTACGCCTCTATAGGAGCCCTGGGTTTGAGCCCAGCCCTTGCTGTTCTTGACTGAACTCAGTTCCACGTTGCATCAGTAGAGCATGTAACTCTGCCCTACAATACCTACATCTCTGCAGGGTTTCGCAAACCTGCCAAGGTCAGCAAAACGTCCGTGACTAATCGATAGCAGATCGAAGGCTGGCTCCTTACCCTTCCGTCCATCATGACAGAAGATGGGTCGGTGCCAGTCATCTGCCAGTTTGAGTTAGAGTGGCGCTAGCAGGGAATTTCAGCGCCATCACATCTGGTCAGCACACAGGCCGCCGAAGTTTTAATAAGCAGAAATAGAAAGGGCGTGACTGCACAGGTCATCAGAGGTCAGCGGAATAACGAGCTGTTAGAAACACAACGAGGGGCCGACTTCTAACTTTTTCTCTGGATTTTTTAACTTGATACTTCACCCCTACACCTCCCTCATCCAGGACCAGTGCAGTTACATAACCAACACGCCCCAGGTTTCAGGCCGAGCCCTTTCCAAAAACAACATCCAGCTGGCTGTTTGATATCTGAAACATGCTGGACCTTCAGAATTCCTCCCTTCTGACCCTTTGAGTCTTTTTACCATTCGATGGAAAAAAACAAGCCAGCCTGTTGGCTCAGTAGGAAGCACTGTTGCCTCATACCTCCAGAAGTGGGGGTGTAGGTCGTCGTCCCCCCCCCTACCCGCTAAGTGTTTTTAGAGCTTGCATGTTCTCCCTGTGTTGTATGTTTCTCCTCAGACTACTCCTGTTTTGCAGTCCAAATCCAAGCATTTAGGAATATGTGTATGTACCCGGCGACCGTCCAGCACAGTGTTTCCCAACCCAGTCCTTGGGGACCCCACACAGTCCACATTTTCACTCCCAACACACTTTTACCAGGTATTTGTCGTTCTTGATTGTTATTTTTTGTTCTTGAATACTTGGTTCAGGTGTTCTGGAGGGAGTAAAAATGGATTTTCTGGGGGTCCCCCAGATCTAGGTTGAAAAACACTGGTCTAGCATCCTATCCAAAGTGTACCTTGGTCTTGTGCAGCTTGGGATTGGCTCTGGGCATCCTTGACCAGGATAAGCAGTTAAAAAATGGATGGGTGCATAGATAATAACTATGCCTGACTTTCTAAATAGAAACTAGTGACATTATTAGGGCCATAGGACTTGGGTGACAGCTTCGGAGCAGAATCAAGGGAAGCAGAGAGCTGAGGGGTATAGAGGATATGGAACCCTGCGCGATAACGGGAATTGTGTGAGTAAATGCTGGGGAAGCCGTGGCAAGTCCATGCGCATTGTTGGGCTGCCCTGCCCCGCGAATGGGGCTCCTCGCAGATGCGCTGCCGGCGGCTCATACGTACTTGCTGATGTACTCGGCGTTGAGCACCTTGTTGCAGACCTGGCACTTGAAGCAACCAAGGTGCCAGTGTTTGTCCAAAGCCACCAGGGACTGTTCATTCTTAAACTCCTTCCCACATCCACAGCAATCTGGGAAAAAGCAGAGAAGACGTGAAATAGCCCCCATGGTACTATTTCAGTGTGTGGCTCTGTAAGTTAGGATACTTTGGCTACGGATGTTTACCAATTTGAATTCCATGGTTAATAAAATGATGTTACTCTTAGGCTCTTGGCCAAGACCCTTAACTGTCTGACTTGTTTCCTCAGTTGCATGTAACTTTGGACATGAGCCTCTGCTATATATATAAATGTAATTCTATCTGCATGATCTCTCAAACATAATCCATTTGATCAGGAGTGGCCATCGCATATAGCTATTCATTATTGATCATACAACCATCAAATATCTATGAACACACTCATCCACAAACCCCTCCATCATTCACACATTCATCTATGCCACCAGCCCTACATTCGCCATCATCTATCATCCATTTGTGTACCGTACTATTGACATATCCACCAGTCCATTGTTTCTTCATTTATATTCATTCATTCATTCATTCATCCTTTTATTCATCAATCCCTTTATCATAATATTTATTCATATACTTTTCTTTCTGTACCCTTTTTTATAAACCATACCCATTTCCAAGGTTGGCTCTACCTTTTCAGGTACCCTAGGCAAGGATTTATTTAGGAGCCCCCCTACCAAGAACACTGATGGCCATGGTTGGCCAACACAGGTAAGTCAGGGGCCCTAGCCAACTGCCTATGGTGCCTATAGCTGTAGTCAGACCTGGCCATATCAAACATGGAAAACTGATCTGATTCTGAAGGACATCATTTAGCCCAATGCTAATGGAAGAAGCGCCTTGAAATATTTTCCTCATGAAGGGGTAGACTGGTGTTACGCTGGAAGCCGCCCACACCAGTTAAAAAGCCCAGTTGGGGGATGGTGCACCACGCTGAGTTCCTGACTTTGTACAGCTGATCATTATCACCCAGTAGGCGTTCACTGGGAAGCAAGCTGTACCCGGCTATATGGCCCTCCCACTGGACATCTAATTGGATGTTTCTCGAGCCACCGTTCCATCAGAAACCCACTGTCCCATTCTCCCGACCCACTTCTCTTTAACCTGTTCTGATCTCAAATCCACAGCAGATTGTGGATTCCCAAACCCCCTCTAGCATGGCCCATCGGTTACAGCGCAACTGCTCACAAGCTATTTAAGTCCAACCACAGAAGACCCTGATCCAAGCAGCCATCATAGGGAATGCTCAGATAGTATCTGCCTACCTAAATTCTCACTGACTTCTCCTCACAAAGAGCATGACTTTTGAGATGCTTGCTGTTCAGAAGGACTGACCACCGCTGCTGTGTTTTATTCAGCCTGAATGTCCGAGAGATTGAACCACCTGGATGTCAGGGTTGACCAGAAGGCCATCTAGCCAAAGGGAGCAGCCCGACATAGCAGGGTAGGTGGAACTCACTGTGGACGGCTTGGATGGGTGCCGGGCTGTTTAGAGGAAGGGGTTGTGTGCACTTTTGGCAGATGCACTCCTTGCCATTGAAGGTCACCCGGTCACCAGCGGGAAAGGGCTGTCTGTGCACAAACAGAGATGTGGGTCAGATTCAAGACTACCCTCGGCCCAGATACCATGACACATAACATCATAACATCATAGCCAGCAAACTGATGGTAAGAGACATGGGGATGCAGATGTCCTGCAAATCACGCTGATGAGTAAGCATGACACATAACATCTCGGATGCTGTTTTTATAACAAATAAACAGCACAAGCTTTCATCGGGACCCGTGACAGCAATTTTATCGTTTACTGTTTATGCACAGAAAGAACGCAACATTCAGTTGACGTTCTAAAGCAGGACTGTTGCAAGGATCTTAAGACATCCAGGGTTTAGCCAGAGAACTAATCTCTTTTAGGGTCATCAAATTAAATTCTCTCTGTTGTGATGATCGTAGCATTACGAAGGGTTTAAGTAAACGCAGCCCTGCACTAGGATTGTGTTGATGAATGGGATTCTCAGCCTGTGAGCACTGTTGATAGAAACAAATCATTGGGGCTCATTCAGAACATTCAAGGCTTCAGGTTCTAAAGCTTGTGGTCTTTATGAGGGTGGGAGCAGAGAGGAGGAACATCAGTGGACCTCAGACATGCAGACCATTTTCCCTTGTCCCTGACAGTGTTAAGCATAGACTGGCGTGTTCTCTTTTGTTGGCCTGGAACCCAACTCTGAGCCACGTCACGTAGTTCTGTCAGTCATTCCAAATTAGCTGATCAGTGCAGTTATCTCAGGAGCAGACACTGGCCACTTTATGAAATGATATATCTTCCTAAGCTTTCAGTCTGAAATGGGATTCTGGCATTTACCGACAGACAGCCTCCATTTCATTTCACGAATTGTTTAGCTACGTGTCGCACTCCTGAGTCACCCTGGCACACTGGTGCTTAGGCGTGTTTTCCCATAAACCCTCACTCAGGTCACCTTGTAGGCTTTCGCTCCTGTTTCAGGCCAAATTTAGGGTCTTACAACCCACCTCCCCCCCCCCCCTGAGTAAAACCCGACACCATGTACCATTTCGTAACTGTGGAAATGGAGTATTTGGAGATTTGAGGTACAGTTTAAGGGACATAGAGGCTCCGGAGCACAGCTGGCGGACGACCAAATGAAGACGGCAGCACTTCCCATGCATGAATGTTAGCTGGGAGGGGGGGGGATAACCCATAATCCTCTCACTCAAGATCCATGAGGACACCTGCTAATTTAGAGTATCACATCCGGGGGGGGGGGGG